TCCTCTCTCTCTCTCTCTCTCTCTCTCTTTCTCTCTCTCTCTCTCACACACACACACACACACACACACACACACACACACACACACACACACACCCAAGCGTTGACAACAGTTTGGGCCAACAGATTCAGAGACTTGAGTAAGAACCACTAGCAAAGTTTAATGGCAGTTTCAGAATAACACAAGACACTGAGTAAATAATACAGAAAAAAAGACAACAGATACAATAGTGGAATAAAGATTGCCCAGAACTAACGTTACAGTAAGAGTGACCTCTTGTGAATATTCCACATATTACACAAATTGAAGAGGCAGGGAACTATTGTTTTAGAGATCAAAAGTTGCAGCACGCACATCCAAAAAAATAAAACTGGGTGCTGGGCAGACAGAAAGTTGCAAAAGTAAACAATGAGTCCGCACACCAGAAAATTCTCCCAAGCACTTTTAATAGTTGCTCACCATGTGAAACGTTTCGGGCCCAAGCCCTTCATCAGACATTTCATCTGATGAAGGGCTTGGGTCCAAAACGTTACACATGGTGAGCAACTATTAAAATTGCTTGGGAGAATTTTCTGGTGTGCAGACTCATATAGGGAACTTGTTTCCCATTCTAGGAGGAAATACAAACTTTAAACATTTATATGTATACAGCTGAACAAGGATAGACATGAAAACTACTCTTTTAAATCTTAAACTGACCTAAGTATTTAAACAGAGAATTTTACTTTAAAAACACACATTTTATCAGATGTTAAATTTGGAAGTTAAATCCCCTATTGTGTTACAGTATGCAATTACATCAGAAGTAACTAGCCTAATTAAATTACAGAAAATTATGTAATTTCACACTTTAATTTAAGGAAATGTAATTAAATTACAGTAATTATTTACTTAGTACTGGATTACACCCATCACTGCATGGAACCATGTCAATAGAAAATATCCTCCAATAGGGGATTATCACGCTTCCGGGCTTCATGGGCGGGATTTGTGAACTTTGTGCATGTCCACTTCCGACGCAGTTCAACAATGACTGACACGAAGGCTATGTACAGGGTTGGACAAAAAAACTGAAACACCTGGTTTTACTACACAATAATTTGTTAGAATGGTGAGGGCCTCATTTTGCATCCAAATACAGCACCAATTGACAGATAGAAGTCCTTCACAGTGACCAGAGGGATTATGAGCCGTTCCTCTTCCAGAACAGTGTCCAGGTCACAATATGATGCTGGTGGACTCGCTCCTCCAAAACACCTCAATAATATTCAGATCTGGTGACTGTCAGACCATAGGAGATGTTCAACGTCACTTTCATCTTCATCAAACCCTTCTGTCACAAGTCTTGCTGTGTGTGTTGGTGCATGATCATGCTGATACACGGTTTGAGCATCAGGTGCTCATGATCCTCCAGAAGGGTTTGCTAGTCCTCGGCAGTGTCGTGTCCATCAAATTCAATCAGGATTGTCATGATATTGGAGCTCAATCCATCACTGATCCACCCGTGCTTCACTCTGAAGATTGGCCGCCAGGCATATAGATGTGAAACCTCCAACATTGGCCAGTGTTTCAGTTTCATTGTCCAACCCCTGTATGTCACTGCTCTGTTCCACTTTGTAAATCTAAGCATCAACGCCAAACCTACGTAAGTTTTCATGGATTCTCGACTGAATCGAGTATAAGAAAAAACTGGAATAAACTCGTTTGTTTGCAGCCGGCACTTTAGTGAATCAGACTAATTTACCAGGGATGCCATATAAATAAACTTAGTGACTGTAGTCCGTCATCAGTTCGCCAGCGAGATCGGTGATTCAACGGAAGTGGCAGTGCACAAAGATCACTGAATACGGAAGTCCTACGTATCAGCGTGATAATCCCCTATAATGGAACATACACAGATGTGATGCAAATGTGTTGAATCTAGACCATTGTTGTTGATAATATACAAACAACACTGGTCTATATATATAATATAATAACATAATATAATATAAAACTAATATAATATACTATATAATATAAAAACTAATATAATATGATATAATAAATAGTTTACTACATGTATATCTGATAATGTGTTATTATGACTCCACGTCATGTGCTGTTGTTTGTTGGGCAGGTACATATGCCTCCTTAGGTTAATTTTACTCAACCAGGCTGGTTTTGTTCATCCGCTGAGGTTCTAGCAGAAGCATATTTTACACTGCTAGAAATTGAAACAAGGTAATTTAGTTGTGTTTAGTATATCTTTAGTAAAACGGATATCTTATAGTAAGTAGTTAAAGTATTTAGGTTTTTTTTATGCATTAATGTGTTAAATGGACCTACCAGTTTGTCCTGCAGATGGAGAATGCCAAAATGACAAAGCTTATGACAAATGCGCAGCAACAGCAATGGCACAATCTATAGAGAAGAAAAAAAAAAAAAAATCACCAAAATATCAAATGTATACAACACTGCACACACAGCTTTCATGACACTTGCTTTAAGAGAAACGCTTTATGAAACTGCTGTTTTCAGAACAAAATACACTCCATTGATATTAACTACAAGGTACAAAATGGTCACATGCCAAAATAATAATACAAATAATTATCTGATAATAATAATTATAATAATAATAATAGATATTAGATTATATTAAAGATAATGATGCAACAAATACTAATGATTTCTAATTTGCTACCTACCCATTTTACTTACAGCAAGTTCCCTGTTACGTCACCACTTGCAATACTATATTCCCTCCCATCTCCAGAACTCTTGTCTAGTTTCCACAACCTCTGTACCAACCTACTTTTGTTAAAACTTTGGAAAGGTTGCAAAGATAATTCATAGTTTAGTGAAGCTGTTTTTGGTTGTACGTGGTTGGATTTTGAGTTAGATATCTCTTAGATTGCTCTATTACTGATTTTTGACTAGAAACAGATTTTTGGGATTGGCTTTTTGTAAACTTGCGAGAACTTTATATTAATTTTGTATTCCGTGGTTTCACAACCTTTACCTACAATGAGATGAGGATAATTATTACTGCTGTTATTCTCCTTTTTTGTGCGAAATTTACAAACCGAAGTCAAAAATAGTCAAAATATTGACTGTTTACTTTTTCCAAATGCTGGGTATATCATTTATTATAGATGTTTTATAGAATTTACTTACAATGTTGTCTCTTTGTTGAACCACTGGACAATGTATCTGTAAATATAATTATTACAAAAAAATTGTTACATGGATTTACAAAAGCTCCCAGTTACATCAAGTTTAGCAGTACTGTATGTATCGATACCACCATTTCCCAAATTTTTCAAATTCTTTCTTAGCAAAAAGGTGCATTTGTTGTACAAAAAAAAAAAAAAAAAAAAAAAAAAAAAAACCTCTAGCTGTTTACCTCTAGCTG